TTCGTCCAATTGCTTGAGTACACATTCACTAACCATGTATTAGCTTTCTCGAAAGCTATGTGAACTAGCCAAAGAACTTACATTGTACGTCACAATATAGTGAATATACAGTCGAGCGGTTAATCTGCGAGATTAAGACATGAGTAACTTGTTCAAGATCATTATATGATCTGCCGACACTGTGATTCAAACACAGTACGTGATGGATAACATAACTACTAAGACATGCCGTCTACCATTTCAAGACCAAAGAAACGAATCTGAAATCAGACTATGGCTTCGACAAAAATTTATATAAGGATACTACAATGTGGATGTATATGAATATGCTATAAATACGAAAAATAAACAATTCTGAAATCATAAAAAATAAATTTGTGATAAATATATATTATAAAAAGAGCCATATCAATCAAATCATTATGAGTATAAACTTTATATTGCAGAAATGAAAGATCTTCAGCTTATTCTGTTTTCGCCCTGCTAACGTTGAAAGTTAAGTCAGATTTTTACGACCAATAGAGACTAAGATAAGCTTCTTTTCGTTGTAATTTTTTTGTCACACGATCTTCCGTTAGCTAAAAAGACATAAAGCACCCTTACTGTTGTCTTGCTTACTTCTTCACAGAAAGCGTCGTTACATACTTGAATTTTTGCTTGAGTACCCGAATGTTCATGAATTAAGGAACAATCACGTACTTTTTGAAATGCTTGCAAATATCTGAAAAAAAAGTAACAGTTTTATCATTTGAATGAATCAGAATACTCTAAACGTACGAGCGTTTGAATTTTTCTTGAAATTGCCAATTAAAGTCAAAACATTTTGCACATAAAATTTCATTTCTGTATTGATAATAATCACCCTGCGGTGGTTGTTGACATAGCATGCACTAAAATTCATAAATGAGACGTACCATTGATGAAAAAATAGATGACTTTATTTTCCTACTTTATCTGTATTGATGGGCATGCATTTTGTTTTAACAGCTGGTATTAACTTTACTCTTCCTCCAAATGCATGAAGTTGATGAACGTGACGATTTTGTTGTACATCGAGTTCATAATTACCGGGGCTTAATAAACAGAAAAGTTTAGACAAAGGGTCGATTGATGAAACTTAAACATTCCTGTATACTTCCACTATTTTTGCGGTGTGCTATAGTTTAGACTCACCCTGGACCATCAGCACTATTTGAGCGAGAAAAACGTTGTGCCGCTGCACTGAACGGTTTGAAAGCACGTTTTGTTGACATTTTGCCAGAATGATCTGGTTGATAAGCGTCTGGCGACGGTACGTCAGCCTACATAAGTAAAGAAAAAGTGAAATTATAAAAAAACTCAAAATGAATGAGAGGAGAAGCGTCGATGATGATACGATGTATGAAGAGTAAGGTTACCTTTGGAACAAATGTTTTTCTTTGTTCAGTTCGAGCATTAAACGTGTAACCACGTCTGCTCATCGGTTGATGATCTAGGACATATCTAAATGTGGTTTTCTCCTCATTGTTGTAGGACCCCGGCCCACTATAAGCAGCAAAGAAAAGAATGCAAGCAATGATAAGAATTTATTTTCTCATGATTAAAATACTAATTGAAGCTCCCAAAATTCATACTAATGCAATTTGAAAGCTAGCTTGCATTTATACGACAAAGATGATACACTGCTTCCAGTGAATGTAAAACAATTGAGTATATAAAGCTTTCTAATCGTTAAAAAAATTTGTGGTGTCAAATTACATTAAAAAGCAATAAAACATACATGCCAGGTACGCCTCGAATTGGCGTTTGAGTGTTTCCAAAACAATCATGAGCAATATCTGTTGGAAATGTTGGACGATTTTGTGTCGTACCAAACACAATATTTGATGGAGGCTTTTCTTCGCCTAATGATATATATATATGAGCAAAAGCAAAAAAGCAAAATTGAGCATGCAGCAATCAATTATTACTAACTCGTCTATATCATTCAAAGTGATATATAAAAGCATAGCTAAGGTTACATTTAGCTCCAACTTACCAAATAACATTTCAAATGAATTAATTAATGAATAAATAAAAACATTGAATTATGTTATTGTGCCTAAAAATAATTTTAGTACTGCTCATTGTTGTTTGAAATTAAGTAACAGATTTCATAGTAATATAAAAATGACTCCAATCTTCTTTAATTTTAGTGCAAACCCAATTTTCCTTCCTCTTAGGATATGAAACAATAAGTTCGTAGGATGCTTAAAATGCTAAGACTACAATATATAAGTATTTAAAGAAGAGTAAAACACTTGTTTTTAAGCGTTCTCATTAGAAAAATCTCTCGCTCATGTATATCACTATGTTATCTGGACTAACAAAAACTAGTACAAAAACACTACGAACTGATTTACACTAGCTAGAAAAAGCCTAGCGATTATTCACTAAAAGCTAAAGTATGACGGATACTTGACAGCATCGTCGTCATTGATTCAAAATTTTTATGCGTTTCTCCGCAACGCTCATTATACCTGACAGATAGATGTCGCTGAAATTTTCCATTAAATGAGGGCAAATTCTATCGAAAATGAGTTGAATTGAATCGTCGTGTAAGATACATTACATTAATTAGGATACAAGCAGTTCGAAGGTGCTCTTAATTCTTAGTAAGGTTAATGTTGCTCAGAGATTTAACCGACAGAATTCTGTTAATGGTCGCTACTCAGGAAATAATTCAATATTGTTTCTTTTCTTCAGAAGTTAGTTTTGTAAACAGAACACAGTGGGAATCCAGGAGAACATTTGGTGAAAAATTGAAAGTGAGCATTTTCAAGAATTTACTGAGTTTTAGAAAAAATGTGTGAGCAAAAAAAAGCCTAAATACTAGTGACCTCGGAGACCTCAGTTTTTTATTTTATTAAGGGAACGTTTCAAAATGTATTCCGATCGGTCGGTCGCTATTCCTCTATTCCGCTGTTCCCCTATTCCTCTATTCCACTCTTCCTCTATTCCCCAATTATTTCTCTATTATAGAATTTAAATTCTAATTTATTTTATTTTATTTTGTATAGTTCGGTTTCTTTGATTGTATTGTTGATACTTACATCGGCATATATATACTTCCGAGAAATATATTTCTCAAAGACTAAAAGGGATCCTTTTTTAAAAAATAGACCACCATAGTGTACAACTTGTGCACTTTAAACTAGTATAAAAGATGGAAATGGGTCTATTCTAATTAGTGTAATGTTAGTTCGCGAAGTTGGTGCAATACGAAATAAGTT